ATTAATTTTATTTCTTCTTCTCCTTTTCATTTTTAAAATATTATTATTATAGATTATTGATTCCTTTCAAATGATATAGAGTGAGAAAAGAGAAATTGTGAGGATTTGGATAGGCAGGGAAATTAGGAAGTACTTGAAGGAGATGGAGAAGGAAAAACCATAATCAGACATATTGTATAAGAGAACTTTTTTTCAGTGAAAACAAGAGTGTATACAGATTTTTAAATGATAGTACAGAATGATTTATTTGATTAGTGATTATATTTTTAATATTTTTGTTTTAATTGCACTGTTCTCCTCATTATAAATTATCATTGAATTTTACTTCCTGAATAAATTAAAGCAAAATGTTCTGTTAGGTAAATTAAATATCATTTACATTTGAAAAATTCTAGAAAAGGACAATTCTTTAGAATCACCATATTAGCTTGGGTTGAATATCACAAATAATGCCAAGAAACACCCATTTAACTCCTGACCTACCTATACCCACTGGGAGAGCAGGGTAAAGATAGAGAGAGCCCACCTACACTCACTAGAAGAAGTGATGGGAAGACAGCAATACAAGACAACACTCAACAATAGAAAGGCCAGTATAACACCACCAGAATCTAGGAACTTTACACTAGACCTGAATACACCAAAGCAGATGAAGAAGAGAACAGGTTAAAAAATAAATTCATGAAAATGATAGAGTCCCTAAAGTTGATATGAGAAAATCCCTTAAATGGAAGAAAAAACAAAAACAAAAAAGAAATGGAAGAAATAGAGGAAAAGATCAAGCAAAAAATGTAATTAATGAACAAAACTCTTAAAGAAAGCAAGGAAATCCAAGAAAACACAATCAAACAGATAAAGGAAAAAAATTCAAACACTTTAAAACCTGAAACTGAAATTGAGACAAAAAAACTAATAGGTGGTTCAGTCTCCTTAACCCCCATTACTAGGAGTATTCCTTATGATCATACTCATGGATTCCAGGGAGTTTCCATTGTACCAGATTTCTACATCACCACCACAACAGTCCCCAATTCTAGTCATCTGTCCCCATATTCTTGCTCTCCACTGCCCCCTCCCTATCTCTTCTCTTCCTATACCCATCTGTTCCTGTCTATCCTCAAATATCTATTGAATTTCCCCTTTCCAGATAAATTCAAGTGTCCCCGTTGAGCCTCCCTTGTTATTTATCTTTGTTGTCTGTGGATTATCTTTTACTTTACAGATAATATTCACTTATAAGTGAAAATATACCATATTTGTCTTTCTAGGTCTGGTTACCTCATCAGGCTCATTTTTTTTTTCTAGTTGCATCCATTTGTCTTTGAATTTCATGATGCTTTTTCTTTCTAAAGCAGCTGAGTATTACTCAATTGTGTAAATGTTCCTCATTTTCTTTATCCATTCTTTTGTTGAGGGGCATATACATTGTCTCTGTGAGCAAAACTGTTGTGGACATAGTTGAGCAAGTGTACTTGTGGATAGGATGAATCATCCTTTGGCTATATGCCCAAGAGTGGTAGAACTTAATCCTGTCCAGGTAAATCCTGAAGGACCATCAACTCTGGGAACTATTGGTCACTTTTTCTAAAGCAGCTTGGTGTCTTCCTAATACCTGAATTCTAGTGTGGAATCTCATGTGATGTGTTTATGTAAATTATTATAACAGCTAAGTCCTAATACCACATATATCTGTAGATGGTCAGGGAATTTTCATTTATCTGTAGAATTTTGATATATAGAAAATATTAAGTAAGATATGTTTCATAACTAGATCTGTTTGAACCATGAGTACTGTAGACACTTAAAAGCCTGCTTTGTTCCTTTTGCTCAGACTAACTACACACAATTAGTTCACATTCACTTCAGAGCAAGTTCACACTAAACTATAGAATTTTCATAAATACATCGTAAGTTTAAAACTTTACAGCTACGGACAAGGTCAGAGTCACAGGTGACTACACAAAGTATTCTAAGATAAGCATACCAATACTTGCCTGACAAGTCTGCTGACAATAGACTTATATCTCAAAGTTTTCAATGGTCACTGTGCACAGCCCTCTCACCTGTCTGGTCATGGGCTCTTACTCCTGACACCTTGTAACCTTGTGTTGCCATGATAAATGTCTAATTTCATTATCTAGGGATGTGCTTTTGACCAATGAGAGGTGACTCATAAATTTTATTGCTCCAAGCCTCTTGTCAAAAGACAATGTTGAGTATAGGGGAGAAGAACTAAGAGGAATTAGAATTAGGACACAAGAGTTAGAATAGAGGCAGAAGAATAAAGAGACTTGTCAGAACAGCACAGTATGAGATATTTCATTTGCCCTCAGATACCCTAAGAAAAAATGTTGCTTTTACTTCCTGTAGCATCTGATCTCAACCATTAAGAGGACCTTGGGGCTAGACCACAAAGGCCCTCATAAAAGAACACTATTCACAATAGCCTCAAACAATATAAAATAACTTGTGGTAACTCTAACTAGGCAAGTGAAAAGACTTATATGACAAAACTATCAAGTCTTTGATAAAAAAAATTGAAGATATCAGAAGATAGAATGATTTCCCATCCCCATGGATTAGTAGGATTATCATATCATTGCCATTTTACCAAAAGCATTCTATAGATTCAATGCAATCCCCACAAAAATTACAAGACAATTTTTTATAGACATTTAATGTATGATTCTCAAGAAATGTTTCCAGTCTAATTGGCAGTCAGCATATACAAGAATGCAAAGAGACACATGACTAGCACTCTGAACAAAACTCAAGTACAACTGATCAAAGAGTTCAATATATAACCAGATACACTGAATCTGATAGAAGAGAAATTTGGGAGTAACCTTGAACTCATTGGCACAGGAGACAACTTCCTAAATAGAACATGAATAGTGGAAATATGAAAATCAACAAATCATAAATGTAACCTCATGAAACAAAAAAAGCTTCTGTACAGCAAAAGACATTAATAGAAGATAGCAGTCTACAGAATGGGAAAAGATTTTTACCAACTCCACATCTGACAGAGGGTTATCAAAGCATATAATGAACTCAGGATATCTAGAGAGATATCAACAAACCAAATAATCTGATTAAAAAATGGGGTTCAGATCTAAACAGAGAATTCTCAATAGACAAATCTCAAAGGTTTGAAAAACATTAAATGAATGCTCAACACCCTTATCTATCAGGGAAATGCAAATCAAAACTACTTTGAGATTACATCTTACACTTGCAACAGAGCTTTACAATCTAAAAATTAGACTCACAACTTGCTTTTTAAATATCTTAACTTTAGATACAAATGCATGAGTTACAAACATTACACACCAATGCCACACTGATTCTCTAGTCAATAACTCGAACTGGATATGCTGTTATCAAAAAGAAGAAATACATATAGTCAATAGATACCCTAAGAAACATTCAATTATTTTTAGTCATTAAAAAAGTAAATTAAGAGTACAAGAAATTTCTTTCCAAATTGACCAGTCTCAAATTGTTACCCGATAACAAGATAACAAGTGGTCAACCCTAAATTATGTACAAACAAGTATTACTAAATATACTGAGCAGTTTGTATTCATACACACACACACACACACACACACACACACACACACACACACACACACCAATATAAATTATAGCAAAAAGGCAAAAGGGTTCATGAATTAGTGACAGGTGAAATAGTTATGGGCAGGATTAGATGGAAGACAGCAAAAGGTATATGATGTAATTATATTTTAATTTCAGAAATAAAATAAAAAACTACTCTTTTGTGATTTTGTCTTACTCCAGACAGAATGACAATCTTTAAGAAAAGTATAAAAAATGCTGGTGAGATTATGGGAAAATAAAGAGTTATAATATTGATAGTAGAAATGTAAACTTAGATAACCACTATGGAAATCAGCATAAAAGGAATTTTAAAATTAGAAGTAGAACCACAATAGGAACTAGCTACATAACTCTGTGCAAGTGATCAGTGGATTCTTATCTTTTCTGCTGAGATAATTGCACACCATAGCTATTGCTGAATTAAGTAATAGAGCAATAAAAATGTCCATTTATAGATGAATAGAAAAGAAAGATGTGCTACATATATGCAACAAAAGATTTTATTCAGTAATAAAGAAATATAAAATTTTGACATTTGTAGGAAAAATAATCAGGCTAAAATGTTAGTTGAAATAAGCCAGAATGAAACAGAAAAAAATGTATTTTTCTCTTGTATAGTTGACCTTATTTTAAATTCATATCCAGAAAGATGTTTATATCCAGAAAGATCATTCATTGGTTAAGGGGACTTATTATTCTTGCAGAGGTGCATAGTTCAGTTTCTAGCACTCATACTGGGTGACTCAAAACTTCCCACAAATTTAACTCCAGCATAAAATATACTATCTCTTGGCCAATTGTCATGAATGTGTTGTTCATTATCAACTACAAAAAGTTTCCTACTTGCAGCATAGAAACTCTTTAGTTTCATGAAGTCTCATTTAATGCCTACAGTATTGACCTCTTAGCTGAAGGACATACAAGAAGATGGAAAGTCCTTTTAGTATACTAAATATTGTGGAACTGTCTATCTTATAGAAATCAGTTTATACATTCAACACAATTCCAATAAAAACTACAGTAGAATTCTCCAAAGTAATTTTAAAACTTCAAATTTCTTTTGGAAACACAACAGATCCAGGATCTGTTTGCTAAAGAATCCTAAACAATAAAACTTATGAAAAAATCACCATCATCATAACACAGCTATAGTAATAAAAACAGCATGGCACTGACATAAAAAGACTCATTGACCAATGGAAGTTACATCCATAATTCCTAAAACTTCCTGAATTTTGACAAAGTAGCCAACAAGACACACTGGAGAATAGATAGCTTCCTCAATATATGATGCTGATTAAACTGGATAGCTACATATAGAAGAATTAAATTCAATCCTTATCTCTTATCCTGTACAAAACTCAAGCCCAAATAGATCAAGGACCTTCACATAAGATTTGATTCCCTAAAAAGGATAGAGAAGAAAATAGGGAATACCATTGAACTCATTGGCACAGGAGAGAAATTCTCTGAACAGAACCTCATCTTCAGTATTATTGTTACATACACACATATAACAATATTAATCTTTACACACATACACAGCAAATATCATTTTACAGACATGATTATCAATATGCACACATACACATAACAATTATTATTTTGTATATGCATAAATATAAAAATTATTATTCCATGCACACATACATATACAAAAGCCTTTGAATTCGTTTAGTATTGCTTATATCTATATGCATTTAGGGCCGACCACTTTTTGTTAACATGTTGTAGTCAATGGGTGTGTAATATTAAGATGAAACTTCCCACAGAGATTTCATGAAATGCTCTGGGACAAAATGAAAGATCAATGTAGTTATAAATATAAAATTATATCAAAGTGAATACCATAAAGAAACAAACAATCAAGTGCTAGATTATTCATATCTGTTCACAATTGCTATGCATTTAAGAAATATAACAGTGATGGGGAATGGTCTTCTGTGTATGTTTATCGTATTGGTTGATGAATAAAACACTGTGCCCAATAGAGCAGCAAGATAGTCAGGTTTAGGAGATGAGAAGGATTTTGGGAGGTGTAGGCAGAGAGCAGTCACCATGTAGGACACCAGAGGAGTAACAGGTCTTGGTCCTTTGTCCAGTAAGATAAAACCATGTGGAGATAATTAGATTAATTGAAATGGGTTAATAATTACGACAGAGCTAGTCAATAAGAAGCCCTAGTCATTGGCCAACAGTATTATAATTAGTATAAGTGTCTGGGTGTTTATTTGTGGCTGACACAACTGTAGGACCAGGATGAATGGAAAGAGTTATCATAACATAACATTCTTTAAAGGCCCCAATTTTGTCACATTCTTGACATCAATGTTCCATCCCATTATAGAAAACTATAAGACCAACATGTCATTTATTTTATGGGAATGAACTCATGGAATTAATTTATGTTGTGGTGTTAATTTGTATTATTAATCAAAAGATTCCCTCACGATTCTATCAACTTTTTCCCTTTCTTTCAGAAAAATATTTTATAAATAATTTTGTAATTTGCAGTATCATAAATACTTCTGTATTTATATTTCAGACATAATAAATTTTACATAAGCAGTGTTTATAAATCATTGAAAACTATACATAAATTACATACACATAATCATCCCAATTAGATGTCATGGACATTGCACAAAGGCATGTTAGTACTCATATTAGTATGTTTGCATATATATATGTATATATATAATATGTTATGCATATATATTATACGTTAATATATATTATGTTTGCATGCATATATACACATCTATATATTTAGCCACTTATTATTATTTACTTCCTCTTTTAGTTAAAACTTACTTTCTTTCTGCAAAAAATTGTCTTCACTTTCCAAGAACAATTTTATTTTGTAAGTAGTAATTTTAAGTGGTACTATTATAAATAGTATTTTATTTTTAAATTGTAAACTACCAGCACAAAAGGGGGAAGGGACAATTCCCTGAGAGCACAGGGGAAGTGGGGGGGCAGTGAATGGAAGAGAAGTAGGAGAAAGCGAGGGGGAGGTGAGGAAAACATGTGCGACTAGGAAGATTGAGTCTGGTTAAGAATAGAAAACAGAGATCTTGAATAGCCTCCTGATCAGTCATCCGGAAGCAATTCTTCACATAATTGATGAACTTGGTTTCCACTTTGGGAAGAGAACCACCTTTTTCTATACTTGCTTGCATTTTTGCCTTAATGTCTTCTACAGAACTAGGTCCTTTTGGGGTTTTAGGAGTTTTTTCCTGTTTTTTGAAGGACTCTTGACCTTTTGATCTTGGTGTTGATGGTTTTAAGTCTTTTCCATTTTGGTTTGATTTTTGTGCATTTTTGGCTGGGGTATCTCGTACAGATTTCTTCACTGGAACTTTTTCTTCAGTTTCTTCATCATCAAATTCATCATCATCATCATCTTCATCCTCCTCATCATCTTCAAATGCCTGTTTAGTTTTCAAGGATGGAACTCCACCCTTTACTTGGTTTTAAGTATGTATGGAATGTTATGATAGGACATAGTAATAGTGGTGGTCAGATGTGGAAATGGTAGGGAGACAAAAATACACATGTGAAATAAACTCAGTATTTTAATAAAGTAAAAAAAAAGAATAGAAGACAGGAGAGAGAGACAGAGAGAGGGAGAAAGAGAGAGAGAGAGAGTGAGAGAGAAAGAGAGAGAGAGAGAGAGAGAGAGAGAGAGAGAGAGAGAGAGAACATAAAATAGGGAGCCAATATTGGTTTGAAGAGAAAATTGAACACAAAGAAAAGTCTAGAGAACAAGACTGCTGCCAACTAACAATTTGAGCTTTCTTGGAAGGAAGCATAAATGACCTCCCTGGATAGTGAGATCAACAACTAAATTATCCATGGAGCCCTCAACTAATGCCTGTTGGAAACAGGAACAAACACCCATATATAAACACTGACTTGAAATAAGAACCCAGATTCAGATGGAGAGGACAAGACCAGGCAGCAGAAACACATAGAGACAGCTTACCTGAACAAGGAGGAGCTAATGGGCCTCCATAGTGGCAGCTGGGAAGCCAGCATGGGACTGACTCAGGCCCCCCCTGAATATGGGTCTCAGCCAGAAGGACTGAGCAATCTAAGGGACCTCAGACAGTGGAGCCAGGATGTATCCTTGGTGCACAAAGGGACCTTGCAAATACATCCCTATGGAGAGATAACTGCCTTAACCTAGAGACAGGAGAGAAGCCCTAGTCCCTACTTCACATGACCTGTCAGATCTACATGACCCCAATTGGATGGCATTCCCCTACATATGGAATTGGAGTGTGATGATTGGAGGGGAGGGTGGCTAGGGTGCATGTGAGAGGGCAGAGAGGGTAAAAGTAAGGGAAAGAGAGAGAGAGAGAGCGAGGGAGGGAGGGGGAACTGGGATCGACATGTAAAATAATAAATTAAATAAAAAAATATAAAATAAATAAATAAATTGTAAACTACATGGTAATCATTTAAAATGAGCTTTGGAACAACCATAGTTCTTAATCCTTTTTCTATTGTGGTGAAGAGACACCATGATCATGACAACTCTTATAAAAGAAAGCATTTGGGGGCCAGTCTTTCTTATAATTTCAGAAGCCTGGTCTACTATAGTTATATTTACCTAGCAATAGCATGAAAAAAGTACATTGGTACTGAATGGGAAGTTCTGGGAGCTACATCTACATCGTAATCTGCAGAGAGAAACAGACAGAGTCAAAGGGAGAGGAGAGGGAGAGAGAATTGACTGACAAACAGAGACAGAGACAGGAACAGAGAGAGAGAGGAGACTGGCCCTGGCACATACTTCTAAAACCTCAAGGCCCACTACTGGTAACATACTTCTTCAATCAAGGTCACACATCATAATCCTTCTAATCCTTTCAGAGAGCTCCACTTCCTGATGACTGTGCATTCAAATAAATGAACTTATGGGGGTCATTCTTATTCAAATCACTATAATATTTTATTAAGTTTACAATGTCAAAGCTTGTTGTTTGATCTTTAGAATCATCAGTAAGATATGTCCAATCTCTGTTTTCACTGTACTCTGTTTTAAAGACAAAAATAAACTGTATTAAATTAAAATATTATTTGGTAACCTTTCAAGTAAAAAGAGTCTAGAAATTTTTTAGAAAAGTATAACATGTAACATGGTGGTGTAATCAAATCTTGATTGCCTTCAAAAAGTGTGCCTTTGACATTCACCTTGTACCTTGTGAACTTCAACTCTCACATTTTTTTGTGCTCAATACTATCCTCAAATTTTGCATGAGTAATAAAATTTCTCACATAAAAAGAGAACCCAAAAGTTCCAATAATAAAATTAATGTGTACATAGTGGTAAATTGTCATAAAATAAAATATCCCTTTTATGACTAGCTTTATACAGTGTCAAATGAATTCTTAAATAAATGTATGTCTTTTGCTAACTTACCTTACTTTATATATTTACTAATTAGCCAGACTTTACCATGATCTATCAAATACAAAATACATTATTGCCTTTATTAGAATGTACCTGGTATATATAATAAGTGACATGCTTTCACCATGAAGTTACAGTGCTATAAATATGAAATTCTGACTCAGAGCAGTGATTAGAAGTAAAAAAAAAATATTTACAATCTTTTCAAAATTCATTGATTTGTGTGTGTATTTAAATACACATAATGTGTATGCCACAAGAATTGAGGACAATGGACAAGTTTTTCAGGTTGGTCCTACCTTTTTACTATGTGAGTCCTGAGTATTGAACTCAGGTCTGAGGGGTACTGATGGATAACCTTCTGAGTTATCTTGCCTGCCTGTGAACTCAAAGAAATTATAAATTTTCCCACTTTATATAGCTGTATCAATTCTAATTATTATATATTATAATATTATATTATATGTTATAATTCTGGAAGAAATTAGTGCCAATGTGGCTATCATCTAAAACCCTTTATTCTGATAACTAATGCTTTAGCTATTTTTACTCTAACTTAATTTTATATATAAAATATAAATGTAAATACCAGTAACATATAACAGATATGTAAATATCAGTAATATATAACAGAAATGTAAATATACATATACATATAAGTAATGTAAAACATAAGTATATGAAGTATGTGTGCTTAAAACATGTTAATCACATCTATTTTCTCATACATGTATGATTTCTACATAGTAAAAACTATCAAAATCTATTCTTACAGCCTTTTAAAAATCATATTTTTATTTATAGTCACACTGACATGCTTACACTTAGTTTTGTTACCCTGTGACATGGTCACATGGACCAAACTTTCTCCAGCCTTCTCTCTTGCTCTTCTCATGTCATGCTAGTCCTGACACATTATCAACTTTTGTACAAAATACAGGAATCACCTGTATTTCTGTGCTTGACTTATTTCACTTAGTAGGTAGAATGTCCTGTAGATTTAATTACACTGTCATAGATGATTTGATTTCATTCTTCTTTATGGCTAATTGGAATTTTATTGTGTTTTCCTTATTTTTTATGCACTGATCATCTTAGAGATCCTTAGTTGTTTCTATTTTCAACATATTTTAAGTACTGGGCAGTTTATATGAGCATGTACATTTCCTTTTTACATACTGATTTCATTTCTTTTAAGGGTATATCTGGTAGTAAGATAAATGAATCATGTAATTCTGCCTTTACCTAAATATTATAGTGACTAAACTTTTAAGCTACCTATGCACACCTACATAGTAATTCAACCCTCTACATGATATAGTTATTATTGTTTGTGGAAGTGGGTATATTTGTTCCCTATTAGTCATTCATGAAAATGAGACATTATGTCCACTGAAACTAATGTTAAATCTCTATAAATGCAGAGGCTATAAATATTTATCTATACACTGAAAATTAATGTTTTGGAATTATTGTTATTACCATTTGATAAATCACAACTATTTATTTATGGCCTATAATGTGTGGTGTTATGTTACACTACTATGCTTCCAGTATGGAATGATTAATTCAAGCTAATTAGAATATCCATTTTCTCAATTACCCATTACTTTTAGTGATGACTTGTTTTAAATTATGAAAAACTTTGAAGCTCAAACATATGATGATGAATAACAATTTGCTATTCAATACATGTTGCCAATTTATTCCTTTGTCTACCTAAAATTTTTTCTCATCTTCTCCGGATGCTCTGATGCTGGTAACCACTATTCTTCTAGTATTGTTAATTCACCATTTTTAGTTTCTACATACAAATGAGATCATATGGCAATTGTCAACCTATCTGTTGAATTGTAGATACACCATAATCAGATTATAGTCCCATGCTATCTCTGTACCCTTTTTAGAACATGCAAACTAATTATAAAGAATATTGCTGATTAATGTACTTTTCTATTGCTGTGATAAAGCTGACCAATTCAACTTATAGATGAAAAGAGTGTAATTGTGTATCACAATTTCAGAGGGCTAGGATCTATGACAATCTTGGCATCAGGCAGGCAGACAGGCAGATAGGTATGTCACAGCAGTTGCAGCTGACACTTTATATCTTTAGACACAGCCACAAGGCAGAGATAATAGATTGGAATCTTTTGAAAGCTCAAAGCCTGCACCAAGTGACATATCTCCTCATCCTTCCTAATTGTTGCACCAACAGGGGATCAATGGGCAAAAAATATTAGTCTATGAGGGGCAGTCTGCTTCCAACCACAATTATCAAAATATTTAAAAAAAAATAACCAGGAGTATATAGAACATCCTGTGATGATATTGGATCTTGTGGAAATGATATTAAATAGTAATGGTACTCATTGAAGACAGATATTAATGAAATCATTCTAATTGTAAGGAAGCAACCAGAAACCAACAATGCTCTAGTTTTTGACAATCAGCAGTTATTTGTTTTCTTCCACTGTTTGCTGAAACTCTCAACAACACTGTGTTAACAGAGTGCTGCTCTTCGAAGTGATAGCAAGATAATGTGGACATATGATCTTTACAGCACACAAAGAAAAGGACAGAATTTCTATTTTTGGGAATCATTTATCAGTCATTCAAATAGCTATTTTGTGAATTTTTTTACATATTTCACAATGTACATGAGAGATGCATTTTGTTATTTATAAACAGAGTAGTCAAAACAGCATGTTTTACTAACAGAATGATCATTCAACCAATGTGAAGACTGCTGTTACAGCAAACAGAATATTAATGATATCCCATTTATAACAGCTAGCAAACTGTCAATAAAAAGTTCATTTATCTATTTTCTCGTGTCTGCAATAAAACACATTCACCTGAATGTCATAGTGTGGAATGAGTGCCAATGCTAAACATACAGAAATGTCTACCTTGTACTAAGTAGCTATATTGACTTGAGAAGCTGAAAAGCTGAATCAGAGCAATTCCCTGTGTATAATTATTGTCTTATTTCCAAAATATCTAACCTAGCACAATACAAAGTTTAAATGCTCAGTGTATGTGTT